GGGGTGGTGTGGGGGGGGAAGGAACACTTAGCGAAAAAAAAAATGTATTCGATGGTTGCAATGGATTCTCGGTGAGGCTGAGTAAAAGAGAACGTTCCGAGAGATAAACCCGGGACGTAGAGAAGTATATCGACGCTTCTCGATGGTCCTTGGCACGGTGTGAACTCTTATTTGGAATAGGTGCCAATATTGGTTTACGAGGTAGGAATGTCTTCAGGCAATCCGAGCTTCCCGGTGAAACGACGGAAACGTCCGATCCTCTATCGCTCTGATGTCGAGAGCTCGAGCACGATCCGTGCTTTCATCGACGCTTTGCAACGATTTCTGGCGAGAACGAAGCGAAGAGAAACTCGGTATGGGGGGGATGAGAAAAACGTTTCCTGAAAAACAGACACAAAGAAGTCGATGGCATGGGACAGGGAATCCCTGAACATTCAACGGGAATAGCACTCTGGAACTCGACGACGCGGTAACGATCGTAAGGAAGCTCTTCGTTTCGACCTCGTTTGGATCCTGGCTTGTACTTTTCGAGGGAATGCGGAATCGTGCGCAGGTCTGACGGTGCGGTTAGTGGTAGTAACCGGGGCGATCGGCGGGTTGTTTCACCCAGTAGCCCCAAGGGGCATGTGACTTCTTCCCGTATCCATCACTGGGTCCTCGGTAGACCTTGATCCTCACTCTTCCCGCCGGTCCTCCGTATCCTGCAGACAAATCATTTCTCTATTCAAATCTCGTATCGCATAAATTTCAGATTCAGATTCATCGTTGAAATTCATTTTCGCTTGCCATTTTTCACTCCCTATCATCTCGGCTCTTAAAGCTTTTGGATTTCGAAATTTACTACTTCTCGTCTGGGAAAGTGGGAAAGAAAGCGAAGCATAATACGTTGCCGACCGCTCTGGAGACACGAAAGGATCACGCTCTGCCGACGAAGCGCTACGACAACCGGACTTTCACGACTGAAACAATGTGGTAATGCCTGATGGGATTTGATGTGCGCCTTCTGTATCAACGTGCTCGTCTGACGAAGTACGTCTCATTCGAAGCTGGGAGTGACGTCATGAATTATGGATGCCCGGGCACAGGTTGTTTAGCAGCGAGACGTGAGATGATATATTCGCAAATTAGCATATAAAATGTCAGAGACTTGAAAACAGGAAGGGATTGAGCGTGGTTTCTCCATCGAACCGATATTTATCAATTTCACTCTTCCACTTCTCATTTATATTCATTATTATGCGTAATATTCTAAGATTTATATTCAGATATCCTTCGCGCTCCCTTCGATATTTCAGTGATTCGCAAGAGGGGAGTAGGGTGTGTAGGGTGTGAAGGGGGGGAGGTATCCGAAGAGAGCTGGGTGGGGGAGAAGAGAGATCGGGAGAGAAGGGGGTGAGGTTGGGAGAAAGGATCGAGAAGGAGCTATGGCAACTGAAAATGATGTCCTTCGTTAAACTGTCGGAGAGAGGAATAACGCGTGTGTCATCCGCATCTCGATTCGAATATCTCACCGGCTCGTCAACGTCATCTCCATCCCGATCGAAAAGGAATAAAAGGAAGTTTTGCTTTTCGGCCATTGCATGGATGAGTCTGAGCGATCCTCACAGAAGGTATTTTTCGTGAAATCGATTGCGAAACGATATAGCTCATTTCGTATATGTCGATCTGTCCCTTTCGTCGCGAGATGCTCCGAGCTCTTCATGGGGCCTCTGTTCCGAAGGCGCGAAACCTCACCGGTTCGTTCGAAAGAGATCATTTGAGATTCAAGGGATGCCGAGGGAAGCGACGCTTCGACGGTACTCGTGTAAGAACGAAATAGGAGCGAACGGAAAGGAAGTCCGTCCGAGGCATTTTCGTTCTCCTCGTCTCCCGAGGGGAACACGAGGGAAATCTCCACGAGACCATCTGCCATTTCATCTTCCTCCAGCATTCGATTCTCGGCTCCTTGCACATCACTGCCAAGCGGTTTCCAGTCGATGGCTCCGTTTAGAAGTTTAGCTCGAAGATCTTGCCATTAGCTAACCGCGTGGGTCTCGACCATCTTTCGCCATCTTTCGAAACGGAGGAGATCGTACCCTTTTTGCCCTGCCTTCTCGAAGTCCATCTCATTTTCTTCGTGTTTGGGGATTTGCTGCCCGTAAGAGGCTCCACAGCTGGCATTACCAGGCCCTCACGTCGCAAAAGAGGTTGCCACCAAGAGGTAGCCACCGAGAGGTTGCCACCGAGAGGTAGCCACCGAGAGGTTGCCACCGAGAGGTTGCCACCGAGAGGTTGCCACCGAGAGGTTGCCACCGAGAGGTTGCCATCGAGAGGAGTGAGATTGCCTGGCTATTTCGGCGCATTGGGAAGTTGCTGACCTAACTACCGTTCGAAGACGCATTCAGTCGCATCTTTGCGATGATCTTCCTTTTTCATCTCGATCTCGAAGACGGAGATCGGCTCAGGAATGAAGGCTTTGCAGTACCAATATTGACAATGACGCGTCCTCCTTAGGTCTCGAGACCCGTAATCCGTGTCCCCGACTAGCTACGGGTGTTAGTCTCTCGATTCAGGCATCCTTCCACATGCAACTGCTCAGACGGTGACCGTCGAACCTCGCTGAGGCATTGTCCACGTGGACTCTCCCTTTCACCTCATACCGGCGGATCCGTCTCGAGTGTCTCCGAGGACGTCCAGCTTCTCGATGTACGCAGAATCTCGGTATCGGGAAACGTTCGATGAATTGGGATTCGGCTTTGGTGAAAATGGACAGCATGATTCGAAGATTTCCATGAACATCTGACTACGTAAAATTCGATTCCATAAAAGTGCGATTCAAAGTAATAAAGCAGAAAGTAAAAGCAATAAAGCAATAAAACAGAAAGTATGCATGGTCGTAAGAAGATTCTTTCGTTTCCTTGAAGGACGAGGTTCTTTCGCCCCTCATCACGTTTCCTGTCTTTCGGAATCCATCAGTCCCCAAATGAAGCTCTTTCACGTAAGTTAGGAGCTAAGCTAGGAATTCTTATGTTCTTCACTCCTAGAACTAGATATTGGTTGCGGATGAAGACATACGCGTTCGTCGCGATGGATTCGGGATCGTCCTCCAATGTGGAACCGATTCGGGAATAAACTTTCAGGAGACGTAGTCCCCCGCTCCCAACTCATATCTCAGACGTTAAGGTGGCATTTCCTCATTTTGGACTTCATCTGTACTTTAAAGAGACCGACACGACCACTAAATCATCCGCCGCGCGTTCAACGTCCATCGTAATGATACTAACATCGTCCACAATTACCTGCCGCGCCATTTATGCAAGCCATCTCAAGGATTACCACAACGGCGGATTTGATGGGAACGAGAATCAGGCAAGCACGGTTACTCCAACTGGCAGCATGTGGGCGAATGATAATCGGTTTGGAGATCGATTATCATTCGTTGACATACTTCAACTTGGGCGACACGTCACAGCCAGCTTCGGGTGAGACATACTCGAGTGCACTTTCTTTCCTCGGCATTTGAAAACGAAGCGAAATATCTGGGAATGAAGAGGAAATACCGGCTCTGCTTTGGGCAGGAAGCTTGATGCCTCCTCCAGCTCTTCCTTGCAATTCCAACGGGGCTTCACCGTCTTGAGTCCCTCGAGAAGTTCGATATCCCCCCTGGTTCTGGCCATAGGGAAGACCTTCCGTGATCTCCAACCATAGGTAGAACACCCCCAAAATGGCACCGATCAAACCCTGCGAAGAGAAAAAAGACGTAAATCTATCGATTCGTGTATGGCTAAAAGAACATGATGCGTGGAAATATCGATTTGATATCAATAAGTAATTCCTTCCAGGTTGTAATCACGCATCTGTTCGTGAGAGAGGAAAAGAGCAGGAGTTGGGAAGGAAACTAAACTTTTCCCCCTGAACATGACAAGTGATACTTCTCCTAACGAAGTCGTTACAGAACTGCGAGGCGTTAATAATAGAGGATCGTGTATTCCGCTGAGAGCAGAACGAAAGGGTCAACTTTTGGGACCTGATAATTATCTGGCAAGTTTCGGTACTTGCAGAAATAAATCTCTCATGCTGCCCGAAGCACCCATGACTGGCAGTTTTCGGACACGTGCGAGCATCGGCTTCGTACGTCAGGCTGTCACTTGGAAATGTGGCCTTCGGTAGAGATGCCGACGAATGCAATGGGCTACCCGACGGCAGGGACGAGAAGAGAGACGTGGAGACTTCAGAATCGACAGCAGCCGACGGTAAGGAGAGCGAGCCATTCTTCACGGGGTTCCTCCCGAGATTACGGGGCCGGTCCGAAGAAAATCGGCTTTCGTTGGAATTGGAATTATTAGTGATACATTTGGCAGGCTCATCGCACATATAGCTTATGCAGATTTATAAGAACGGCGTAAAGCATAGTAAAGGATCGATCGGAGACCGAAGGTGCGATTATGAGTCTCAAGTCACTCCATAACGGAACAGCTGGAAGGAGCAGAAACGTCGATATTTTACCCTCTGTTCCTGGATGATATAATCGCCTTTCGATGGCTTCTCCCCGCTGCCTCTCGGAATACAAACTACCATCTTGCCCGCCCTTTTGCTCTTCTGCGACATAAACGAATCAATACACTCGAGTGGGTAAAGAAGAGTCAGGGCAGGGTCTTTAGGCCTCTCTTCAGCTTCTGTTGGCAAGTGTTCCCATTCGACACGACAACGTCGAGTCGACGTTGAGAGAGGGTCGATTTTTCAACGTAGCAATGTTGGAATAAAACACAGTTCAACGTTGAAAATACGTTGTGCCGGCGTTGAGTTATCAATGTTTGGGCATTGGGCCTCGGAATGGATGCCCTTGAATGACACGACTCATTCTGCCCGTCAAGGGAGTTACGTGCCTAGCCGTGCAATGCGGCTCCGCGTGGGAGATACATCTGGGAATGACGTCCGACGTCATCAACAGATTTATCTCCTTTCAAGAGAAGAGTCGTTAACATATCCCGGGCCGGGTTGTCAGGCTCGAAAGAGATCCACATGTCGGGTAGTGAGGTAGAATTCGGAATGTCTCCTCGGACCTCCTGCTCAGAAGTGCCTGGAGCCTCCTTCAACGGGTCTATCTTGGAATTCCAAAGCCTTCCCTTAAGTTGTACGTGGGGAAAAATCGGGTGCTGTATGGAAAATACATGGAACTGTATTTTTCAGAGCAATAGGGTGAGAATAGCTAAATCGGCGGTTAGGCGCCATCTCGCGTCGATTGGTTGAACCTATTTTCTGTCGAGATGATGTGGACTACTCCTTGCTGAAGGCAAATGTGAAAAACGAATTTGTACTTAATAGCTTCCAAATGACTTCGCTAATCCATGAGTAGTGTTTATGTGTAGAAAATTCAGATGATCACTAATAGCCGGCATTTGATTGATGCCGATTCTTCGCTTCAACCTTGTCTCGACATTTCGACCTTTTGTCAACGTTGACACAACGTTGTCGTGCCGAATGGGTTGTTCGTCTTGGGTTTTATTCCTCCCTATCAGGACTCAATGGCTGATTCTTAAGAAGGAACTTGGACTCCACGGTCGAACCAGAATCTCAGCTTTCGAGCCGGATCTGGCATCGTCCGAAGCTGAATTAAGCTGTGGCACGCCCAGAATTTTCCACCTCTTCTCATTTTTATGGCTGGGGAAGAGAAGGATCGACTACCAGCACGAATAGATGAAATTCCTGGCCGTGCCACTGGAATGTGAACTCATGGAAAGTGAAAAGAACAGACCACGGCGGAGAGGGATCAGCTTTTCTCGACGAGTACGGTGATTGTGCTACGATTAGCAGCGTCACCGACTCGTGATGGAGTGGACGGATGACATACTTCCACGATAAAATTTAATCATGGCTAAACTCAACGAAAGCACGATTCATCACTCATCGAGTGAAGGGAACAGATGAACTTTAAAGAATAGCGGGGCCATCGTGACGGTCTCGTCCGACGAATTCATAAGAAACGTTTGGGTTATTTCAAATATGTGCAGGATTCGTTCGTGCGAAAGTCGCTGATCGGCTTCCTCTGGACGAGGAACGGAGGACGAGTTCCTAATTGAAAGGACATCTTTACCCTTTCAGGATCCTGGAGGATAGACAGGGGGAAAGAGGCTTGTATCCCATCGGAGACAAGAAGAGACGAAGAGGCACTCGAGGAAACCCAAAGGCCCTTCCCCTACCCCCCTTCTCCTTCCCCCTCCCCCCCTCCCCTCCCAACGAGATGTGAAGGGGTGAAAGCAATATTTCCGCTTTCGCTTGGGCACGGCGCGGAAATAATCGTCCAGCAAAGACTACGCGGTTCTGTCCCATATTATCCTGGACGAGGAAGCATCGTGAGCGCATCGAGATCGCGTGATCCGCGAGCGAGTGGTCGCATCGACACGGCTTGCATCTCCGCCTTTCCAAAAGTACGGAACTCTTTTTTTTTTATACAAAAAGCCTAAGATCAAAGGATAGACAGTAAAAAAGGATCGATTTCGATCGCATCGGTATCGAAGAGACGGCACGACATCCGAGGAGCTCGATCGACAGAGATGTCTCGTTCTCCTCTCGAGCAACCTCAGAGCGATGAGACCCACATAAAGAGTACTTTGCCAGATGCCTTTTTGCGGTGAACCTCCTTCGCGTGCTAGAACGACTGTCGTGCTTTCGCGAATGCTCGTCTGCCCTCGTGGTTCGTCCCCCGCATCCTACGGATGCATCGGGAAACGAAACTAAGCGCTGCGATGAGGCAAGGCTGGCTTTGTAAGACGCTTCTTTTGCTTCGTCTTCTCGGCGGGGCAAGCCTCGCCGAGAAAATGAGCTGCAAGAGAGACGTTGCTCGATCGAGATGGAGGATGTGGGAGACGCGCAGGGAATATTCTGGCACCATTTTGCTCTCGAGTCTTGGGAAAAGTTTATTTCTCGCCTCTCCATTGTAAAATGAAGAGTAAAATTACCGTGGAAAGAAATAAATATCTGAAGAAACCACGAATGTGGTGTTTCCAGCACGAAGAGGAGAATATCGGGTTGCATTTTTTAAACCAACATCTGCGGAGGAGTTCTTGTTCGAATTGTTAAACGGTTGACTGCATCCTATGTGTAGAGTTATCCCGAATTCAATATTCACACGAACACACCCTGGGGCAAAAATGGGTGCCTAAGGACACGGAAGAAACCTCAACCTACATATTCTCGAGGGAAGGGGGCCGACTAAATATCGATAGAAAAGCAAAAAAAAAGTGGTAAGAATTAACCATGGTGTCTCGACGTACCCCGACGATCTCGTTACGAGTTCCCGATCCGGTCGCATCTACCCCCGATGGAGTCCTCGACTCCCATCGAAACGAAACCCTCACACAAGCGGTAGCCTAAAACCCCAGAACCCATAAGCACTTTAGGCGTCCTCCACCTCAGAGCACGACGGGTTCGCGCGAAAGGGAGCCGATGCTCTCCAAATCACTTGGCAGACTGACGTCGGAGTGTAGAGCCTGACGTGGAACTCTTCGCGGGTCCGATGAAGATAAAGGGTCAGAGGTAGAAGAGATGAAAGAAACCACCTGGAATTCATTCCGCAACTGTCTCCCTTGGCTCCCTCCCTTCCATCTCCCTTTCATGATTCTTTTATTGCAGGAAGTAATTCAGGATTTATCTTGCCTCCGAGGCAGGGGTTCTCGTGTTGACACGAACGAGTTACCTCTCATCGGCAGCAATTGAAAAATACAATTTGCATGCCTGCGAAATCACGTTCCTCTTGCCTCACGCTACCGAGGAGACCCGACGTCGTGTTCCCCCACGTTCCGCCCCTCCCGGGGGGGGGGGGCCTCGCGATCGACAAAGATAAACCGATGGTGGAATCCGAATCTATGACGTGGACGTTCCGATCCTCGCTCGATCCTCGGAGGGCAGAAGATGCCTTCAAGGTTAACGGGAAGGACGGTTAACGGAGAAAGGAGATGTCGAAGGGACTCACCCAGGTGAGTTGCATGTTGTGGCAGTCGCAGAGAGAATGGGAGAGTTCCTCCGCCGGTCCGACTCTTTATAAAGTGTTCATTGGAGCATGACGGGAGGAAAAGTCCACTTCTCCTGACCCTGAAGTACACTTTCCGTTCGTGCACTTTCTAACGAAGGAGGGAAAACGCAGACAGACCCCCCTTCGATACCGCAAAGTCGATCTCTGTCGCATTCGGATCGAATCGTCATCCATCGAGTTCGTTTCGTGACGTTCCGTCTCTGCGAATCGCTGCTGCTCCCGACGACAGCGAGAGGGAGTCTGCGCTCCTTTCGTCGTGAAGTCTCGACCTTTTTTCGCTTCTCGCTTCCGTCGACGATAGGACTCGGAAAGATCGGCCGCGTTCTCCCAAAAGGGAATAGGACTGGAACGGTTCGTGACGAAACGGCGATGAGTCTCTTCGGCAGCGAAATGAGAAGACACGTTCAGACTCCGGTATTTAATTAAATCTCTCCCTCTCCATCTCTACGGTGGCTCCGGCAACGTTTAATCAACTCGGCGGAATGTAGTAGACCCTGCCATTAATTAGCCACACCCGATTGAGAATTAGTTCTCCCACACATGCAAATTATCCTCCCATTTGAGAGAGAAAATTCCCTAATTTTCGAGGGAGGAACGTCCTCTTTTCTCTGTCGTGAGGAAGAGTGAGAGGGGGAAAAAAAAAGAGAAAGAGAGAAATGATGGATGAGAGACTGAAGCTGGTGAATCTAAAAATCCCTGCTTCTATCCTGTTAGTAATGGGGGCAAGAGAGGCATTCAAGGTGTTGATTGATGGGAGGGGACTTCAAGGGACTATAAAGGACCCAGTGATGGATACGGGAAGAAGTCACATGCCCCTTGGGGCTACTGGGTGAAACAACCCGCCGATCGCCCCGGTTACTACCACTAACCGCACCGTCAGACCTGCGCACGATTCCGCATTCAGGTCGGGCCGGCTAGTCTTCCTCCCCGGCCTTGGGGGGAGAATCGCGGCGAGTGCGGATCTGGATGTGGAACGGACGAGTCGTCATGGTGGAAAGACACAGCGAGTGAGAAAGGAAAGAGGAGAAGAAGAAAGGAAGATCCCTTTCTCTTCTCTTCCCTTCCTCTGAAGGCTTCTATACTGGATGGATGTTTCGGAGTATTTCCCAGTCCCCGTTCCGCCCGGTTGACCCTCTCCCAAAACCCCAACCGTAAAAAGCAGGCTCCTCTCCCTCCCCTCGTCTTTAGGCGTGTCTTCTCGTTAAAAGAAATCTCTTACTGTGTTTTTCACACGAGTTGGACGATTTCTCACTCGATTCGGGCACTCGTGCATGGGATGTCATGGGATGTTCCTCGAGCGGGAGTGTCCGAGTCGAGTGAACGCCTCTGTGATCGTCCAACTCGGGTGATAAACGCTGAAAACCCAAATGAGTTTTGCACCTCGATCTTTCGGTCTGGCTGATCTCAACTCGAAGACGTAACATGAGGGGTTTCAAAAATATTCCCTTTTTTAACCCGAAAGAGTAAACAGACGTCAAGCTAGCGAGTTTCAGTAGGAGAATTTCCTATCTCAGACCCGGCCATGGCGTGAGAATTTCTGCTCGAAAGTCACGGTCCCGGACACGGTGGAGTTCCGAGCCAGTTAGGTGCTCCGATGGAAACGGAAGTCAAACGGCGCGAAGACGCCAAATTCGCATTTCATGGCATCGTCGTCTCTCGTTCATCCACGCCTAGTGCCAATCCGATCCTGAATCTTTCCAGTTGGATCCAGAATCCCAGCTGGAGCGAATAGAACATGTCAGTGAAATTAAAGCCTAGAATGCAGGTAGTAATTTGTTTTACTCCCTTTCGATAACATGACTTCAGCATACTCTGTGCCAAATTGTGATTGAAGACAGAAATTTTTTTTGTAAAGCATATTTTACTCATGTATCGATTCACGAGGCTGTTGTCCTGCAGTAGGGGACTGACCCATCCATACATTGTCCACTTGATAATATTAATTGCAGCCAATAAGTTGCATAATTGCAGCTGATATCGTCAAGAAAAAAAAAATTGAAACGAGAGATTTGTATATTGGACGAGATAACGATTGTTTTTATGCTACAGGAACCCAGAAAAGCAGGCGGAAATAATTCTCGACCAAAGGGCTTAATCGTGCCGATACGTATTTCTACGATTCGTCTCGGGACACCGTTCCTTTTTGGATACGAGGGTAACGTCAACTAAGCGAATCGGGATGAGTGCAGAGATGATGGACTTTTTTTCGGTCGTTCCTTTCACCACAGGGTTACTTTCTTGCCTTACCCCTTGTTTCGGCACTTTTATCGAATGAGTCGACTGTCCCCGATTCTCAAGCCTTTCCAGTTGATTTTTTGATGCCATTTCTATGCCTGCCTTTCGATGGAGCACGATGGGAAGCTCCGTAAGTTTTAAAGTTCCGAAGTCGACGACTTTCTGTAATAAATTACCGACACGGTGAAAGCGTTCTTCGATTTTAAGATACATCACCCCGAGATAAATTTATGTAATATAATTTGTGAGAAGGAAATTAGACGCACGAAAACTTGCCAGGATGAAGAATGGAGCTCTGCCCTCGCCTCGTGTAGGATATTAAGGGTCCAAGCAAGGGACGGACTCGCACCCGAACCGACCCGCTCCTTTCACCCGATTTCGTTCCTACGGAAAAGTGTTCTTCGGCGAGAAGAAGCAACAGATGTTTATGCCGATTCGGGCGATGGCGAGGCGCGAGTCGGATCTTCCCCAATCATCGACTCAAAATGCGTGTCGATGATCCCTAAGTATGGAAAGTCCATTAACCTTTCCCCCGAAAAGAAACTCTGGAATCGGTCAAAGTCGAGGACGAAACGAGGAGTTCTGTCCCCTCGTGAAGCGACGTCGTGCCTTCCTGGCCCCGTTGCGGCAAGGAAACCCGCTCCCAACATTTTCTAAGACATTCGTCTCTTTTTTCTCTCTCTCTCTCTCTCCCATCCCGGATATTCATGGATTATTTATCCGATGGGATGACGCGGACAATGGCACGTGCCCTCTCTCATCGATGAATACGACCGCCGGGTATTCATGGCCTTTGTGTGGGTCTGTCGGTGAGAATGGGAAGCGGAACCCCCACGATAATGAGTTTAGCATGAATGCGGCGATGGCACGAGTGCGATACGCTTCACCGTCCGACAATGCCCATCCTCACCCGAACCTTACGTGCGCGGGCGATGGCTCGTCGTGAGTTATTCATCCCGTCCACGTGCGATTCATCCGGTCGGTCCTCGTCGATGCAAACGAGAAGTTCCCGAATCGAGAACCGATAGGGGATCTCCGAAGCTTTCGAGGGGACTTTTCCCTTTCGCTTGCGGCGATGTGAAATGCCGCTTCGTACATGGAAACCCTACGGAACGAACGTCGATCGTTCACCTCATCCTCGAGTCGTTTCGCTCCTCGACTTTTACGAGATTCGTCGTGTTCCTTGCACGTAGGTGAAACTTTTCCAAGCGGATGGCTCTTCGAATCCATCGCTCGTCCGAAGAGATCATCTGGATCGCAAAACGCCTTGAGTTCTGGAAACAGGGACGAAGCTCGAGTATTTGCATGGAATTTATCTGTACGGTCTGCTGCAGGCATCTACTGCATTTCAGGCCTCGTCGAGGAGAGCGAAGGATTCTCGTTCGTCAGCTGGTGAATCCATTTCGATTCGGATTCCACACGAGTCGATAGTCGGTCGGTCGGAGGAGAGCCACAGATGCGCTCGAGCTTAAAACCTGGACATCGCAATTACATATCGGACGAAGTCGGTGAAAAACGATCATCGACATCGGTTTCCGATCGTTTCTTTCTTTTCTGGTAATTGATAGATGCAAATGGTGCGATTCGACGGATGCAATTTCATCCGAAGCCCCGCGGGAGTAGAAACAAAAATTTTAGCAAAAAAAAAAGTTGAATATGCATTCGATGGGTGGATGGAAGTGCGGGATCGATTTGGATCTTTCGAAAGAGAAGGGAGGACGAAGGAAGATTTCCTATATGAGATGGTGTGAAATGAGTGTGAAGAAAGGCCAGATGTGACCCGTTGGAAAGCAAGAAGCCCTTATGGGAATATTGACCTGCTCTTCCTTCTTCCATCGACGGACCGTATTCCAGGAAGGTCATTAAACATTGACGGGGGGTTACGTCCCCTAGAAGGGGAGACCATTCTTTTTTTTATATGGTCGAATCGCCCTTTTTCCCCGGCCTGGCCACCGGTGATGAATGCAAGATTTTAGTCGGGGGGCTCGACATCGAGTCGAAGACGAGCGCGACGTAAGGGGGTGGGGGTTCCGAATCCCCTTCGTTCCCCTCCCCCTCCCTCCCCCTTTACCCTCATCGCCCCTTTCCCGTTTGCCCTTCTGCGTACGTTACTGCCGGCCGCGATGGGGATGCCGGAGCGATCGAGAGTCCACGAACGGTTGCAATGCAGCTGTCATTCGGAGACCTAACATATGAGCTCTTTGATAAGATGTGAAAGACGAAGAGTGCGAGTAAAAAAGAAAAAGACGAAGAGGATCCTAAAACGCCATTTCGTCCATTTCCTTTAAGAGGAAAAGGGGAAGAAGTGAAAGAAGAGAAAAGAACCGGGCGGCAAGTCTTTCTCCGTGATGAAGACTTGTCCGACGGCGGACCCAGAAATTATTCATCGGGGGGCTCCGGTGGAGGCTCCCGTGGAGGCTGGTGCTAAGCGAGGGAATACGAATGTGCAATGAGGGAAAACTTTTATCTTCCTTACCTGTCAAGTATCTCTACGTAAACTCGTGAAAACAAGTGAAAAAGGCATATATATAATAATGATACTGAGGGGAAGAGTCACCCCCCCCCCCCTCCTCGCCGCTGGACTCTCTGCCCCAGCCTCCACATCCCTCCCCTCCCTCCCTCCGCCGCTGGACTTTGCCCCAGCCTCCCCAGCCCATCATCATGCTCACAAGCTGGACTATTATTATCAAGTGGATGTCATCGGAGATGAATGACTCGGAGACCTCT